AGTGTTTCAAACAAATACGACGGTTAAAGCTCAAATGAAACTTATGTCAAAGGAGTACGTCCAATTTCAATAACCTATCTATCTGTAGATTTGCTTAGTTACTAAAGATAATATTTTGACATAAGCTCCATACAACATTTTTGAAATTGGACGTAAGAGGATCAACTGATTACAATAATCGAACAGTCAGTATTTCTATGAGAATGAGCCTTACGCCTTACTCTGGAGAAAATCTTAGTTCGGACCACATAAAAAAGTAACAGTAAAGTGGTCCTTCATCTAAGAAGAATGATGAAAAGTGGTCCTTGACCAAGAAAAGGTTGGAAACCCCTAACCTACATCAAGAAAACTACATCACTAAATCCAAAATGAAAGCTATTCAGAATCAAGAATCGACCTTAAATGTGCACATACACCTGCCTACTTATAAACCATCTTACCGCCGCGGAAATTGAATTAAAACCCACCGAAGCTCCTAAGTTTGCGTAAATTGAATAAAATTGAATTTGATGAACACTTAGTAACTTGGTTTCGAGATAATTAAACCTGTTTGTGTTTATCGAAGTCAGCTTAATTTTAAGATATAATGCAACTATTATGCATATGTTTGAAGGCGGTGTCATCATCATCAACAGCCTATAAATGCCCACTGCTGAGAAAAGCCTCTTCTCACACGGAGAAGGTTTGAGCATTAATCACCACGCTTGCTCTATGCGGGTTGGCGATTACAAACTAATAATTAAAAATTATAAGCCCAGATTTCCTCACGATGTTTTCCTTCACTGTTTGTCAGTGGTGTCTGAATAATCTTAGAAAGTACATATAACTCGGAAAAAGTCACATTGGTACTTGTCGTTGGTATGTTTGGAACCCGCACCCTTATGCATGAGAAGCGGGCGTCTTAAACCTCCGGGCCACCACGACATAGGCGAAGGCGGTGTAGTTCGTAGAATCTTGCTTTCAATAAGACTGTGTGCTTTAAAACAATCATTTTGGAGAAGCTGTTGTTACTTTAAAAGTAAATTGTTCTCATTTAAACTTATTGATTCACCATGGTGCCAATGTTCGACAGTGGAGTTGCAATACGAGCAGTCGGCCCATCACATACTCTGGGAGTGTGATCTCTGGCAATATGAACGTAACACTATGTTGAATAATTTAATTGTTTCGTCAGGTGTAGCTTATTATACGGACCTTGTGGAATCTAGAACAAATTTCCGTGCGTTTAGGCGCTTTTGCCATACCTATTATTGGAACCAAGTATAACAGCTCACACATAGGACCCACTTAGTTTTTTAGTCAAATTTCCGTGGTGCTTGGCGACTGGGCTTCACCCAGTTGTACAGTCTTTTCTTTGTGCCTTTAGGCTTAATTCATTCTGTCTCCTGCAGTAATTCACCGAGGGAAGTGGAAACTACAGTTTTTTCTTCTTCTCCTCTTATAATATCTTCTGATTCACTTCGTTGCGGGAACCAAGACAGTTACTCATGTCCCTGGGACGCGCCGGACTTCAATGTTCCGGTGTTTTCATGGTTGTATCTACTGTAGATCCTGGCTTACAGGAGTTGCAGCGGTTTTGGGAGGTTGTGGCGGGCTTGTCCCATAACCAAGAAAAAAAAAAAAAAAAAAAAAAAGCTGTTGTTAGTTATCAATATTCAACTTATGAGAGTTTCGTGTAATTTACAAGTTATGTTAGCATACTTAAGGATATAAAACTAGCAATTTGTATTTTATAGTAATAATAATATATTTGTATTTTATAAAAATGTACAATTAAGTTTATACCTAACATATCATTGTTACCTCTACGTATTTTTTAGAGAGAGAAAGGTCATTTCCGAATATAGTTATTGTACAGAAATATAAAAACACTTGTCTTAGCTTAAAAATAAAATGTCAATTAAACATTACATTCTAACATCAGATCACCCATTTTTTCCAGAGGGTTCGGTAGAGGTGCACATTACACAATATAACACTCACTTTTCACTATTTATGTTATGAGTCTCGTGTAATAGGGAGTGAGCCTCCGTGCCTCTGTGCTACTACAGAATTTAAAAAAAACTCTGTAACTTTTCCTGACGGAATCGAGACCTTTTGGCCGGCAGTCGCTCTTGTCACTCGGCCGTATATATTTAACATGAAATTATAAACTTAAAGAGACCATCCATTATACTATCAACGATATTTGATATAAAATTGGATCAAAAACAATTCTCTTATCTATTTACGTCTCTTATTTAACAACAGGTATAATAAAAACACACGCAATTCAAACAATAATCCAATAAAATTCTTTCCTCACTACGTCACATGAAATTACCTCAAAGATTGTTCACACAGCCCTCAAGTAATGCGATCTCCTTAAAAACCCACACCTGCACCCTAAGTTGACAGGTAACATCGGATATTACTTAGAAGAGCTCATGTTACTTACATTTTCTTAACTAATTATGACTTAGGTGGCGTGGAGTGGGAGTAGGTTTTAGGTGCTAGTTTCTAGTGATAATAAGACTTGAGGTATAGGGGGCAGTATAAAATCATAACGTAGATGTTATCTTTTTTTAATTTGTATTTTTAAGACTATTTGACTAGTATTTATTTAGATGTTTTTTTAAGTAACTAGCTTCTGCTCGCGACTTTGTACGCGCAATCCCGTTTTCTCCAGTTCCCATAAGATTTTCAGGATTTTTTTGTATCATAAGAACCTTCTCCTGCCAATAACAAACACAACAAAAAAAATCAGCCAAATCGGATCAGCCATTCTCAAGTTATGGCATGACAACAGGAAACGGGTTTCATTTTTATATATAAGTAATAACTAGTCTACATTCGATGTAATTCTATTTCACGTAAGAGGATCCATAAATATATTTTTTTATTTGTCTATTTGCGTAATAATAAAAAAAGAAACACACAAGAAGCAGACAATGAAAACTTAAACCAACAATTAAAACTACTTACATACTAACCAAAATAAAACAGTAAAAACATATAATATAAATATACTGACTGCCTCGTTGGCCGAGTAGTCGCAAGTGCGACTGCCGGTGTCACCGGTGACCGCTTGGTGTTTGACAGTTTAATAAATTCTCAGTAGTAGCACGGAGTCTGGAATTGTGCCCGGTATATGGCAATAGGCTCACCCCCTATTACATGGGACTCAATAACATCAATAGTGAAAAGTGGGTGTTACATTGTACAGTGGCATAATGTGCACCTCTGCCTACCCATTCGGGGATAAAAGGCGTGATGTTATGTTATGTTGTTATAAATATATACACTTATACCTATATTATTTCAACGAAACCCACATTCTTTCGCAGTGTTCGTTCAGTACCAACGTGTGCCTGCACACTGAATGTCTATTAGAATCATTGTCACGATTCCGCGCCGAAGTCAAATGAAATTTGGTAGAACGTGATATGAAATTTCACTTTGTATTTGAGTTCATTTAAATTTGTTGCTATATTGAATGCAATAATATTCTTACTACTTTATTTAAAAGGTTGATTTATTGCCTCGTTTGTTAATTATAATTGTTTAAAGTTTCGAGAACAAGACTGAAAAAAAAACATTTGAATGTTTGATTTCATAATTTTAGTATGTAGTTATATTTCCCTGATTCTAAACCGCAACAGTTCAATCAAAACTAATACCATAACAGAAGTAACAATCAATAAATAAACGTAGTTACCAAGTGAAAAAAAAATAATATTACACCTACATACTATTAACAGAGTATCATCTGGCAACACTCGCTAATCAGCTCACACACACAACCAAATAAATAAATAGTTAACAATGATGATAAACAGTACAATTTACTATTGTTGACATTAAAATTTGAACTCTTGATAACAAACTTCCTCGTTAGTTGCAAGTCAGTTCAGAAAGATGACGGCTCTAAAATTATTAATATTGTTTCCTTTAATTACTATTAAAATTGACGCAAGTGTTGTTATAAATCGATATGACGACGAATGTGTACTGGATCCAGCTTTAGTGGCAGAAATAGCTTCTTATGAGAATGTTACGAAACATATTATGGACCAAATTAGGAATAATTATGGAAAAACAATGTACCAAGAGTAAGTACTATACCTACTGTTACTTATTACAAAGTTATATGTTAAGTATTCTGCCACCGGTTTTGAATTCCCGTGGAATAAAAATGGCCTATGTGTTATTCGAGATGAAGATAATAATCTACACCTTTTCTAAACATCTCGGTCCCTTTATCCATTTTAACGACTAAGAGTGACAAACAAATATACATACTTTCGCATTTAGAATATAGTTTTTTTTAAGAGGGGAAAATCATCCAATGACTTCTTCCGCCAGGGTGATGTGGGAGGGAGTGTCAGACTCTTACTGATTAAAAACCACCCCGTTCCTACTCCTGCACTTCGAGCCAGAGCCCCGGTAACCCGCTAGGTTCTCCGCGGCTCCGTACCGTAATAATATGAGTAGGATTACATTATACTAGGAATGTATGTATTTTGTCAATCGCATAGTTAGTAAAGTGAGTGATATCATAATACTAGTACAATGTTTAATAGGCAAAAGTTAACGTCAGTTGCGTAAACATTTATTGCGCTTTAAATACATTACAATTTAACAACATAAGAAATATTTAGTGAGAAAAAAATTGCGTCGCGACTTGGACCCGCGGAGGATTTTACGACACGTCCATGCACGTCGATGGTCGGGGCGCTCTCTCTCTCCACTCGCACCACCTGCGCTGGCGCGCGGGGTAGCAGATGTTGGGAAGGGGTGGTCGCGATCGCGCGCCTATTGGCGTCCTGCGTTACGTTGGAACCACAGATAATAAAACCATAGACTAGAATAAATTTATTTTTAAAACTCACGTTACAAATGTTATTAAAAAATATGTACGTATAATTTAATTTTATTGTACTTTCAGATATACACACTTCATAGACAAGTTTGGTGCCCGTCCATCAGGATCGTGGAATTTAGAAAATTCAATAAATCACATGATTAATCTAACCAGACAACATGGTCTGAATGACGTGACAACTGAAGAATTAGAGGTAATTAAAAGCTAAAAGCTAATTAGTGAATACTTCATGATATATTGAGTACATCTGTACTTAAGATATCTATATCAAAGTAAAAAATATACATATGTATATTGTATATATACATAATTCTAGAGTACTAAATCAATGGGAACAAAATAAACAAAAATATAAATAAATGTTTTACTGTAACCACCACTACTTTCTCTACCACTTTTCTTCTTATTTCTTATTCTTTTATTTAATTATAAGATATACATATTATCGTAAACAATGTACGTAAAGGCGTTTAATCCACATGTCTGCAAGAGTCTGCAAGAAGTCTGCAATTGTGTAATATTTATAACGTAAACTAGTTATAAATATTCCATTTCACTACTATGTATTAAGATTTAGCTAAATTGGCCACGTACCAGGAAATTGCAGTACGTGCCGCTACAAAATTGTATCAATAATAACATCCTATCCACATTGTTTGGTCTCAAGCGTTCACTAAATTATCCTAATACGAAAATATGTTTTCTGTAAAATTTCGATTTATGCTAATAAATTAATAACTTTCCTTTTCCAGGTTCCCCACTGGGAACGTCTATTTGAATACGGCTTAATGCTACAGCCTCGTGTCAAAAAAATAGTTATACTTGGATTTGGTTCCAGCGTCAGTACACCTCAAGGTATCCTCGCTGAAGCAATAGTTGTTAAAAGTTTTGCAGAACTTGAACAACTGGACAGAACAAAAGTTCAAGGAAAAATAGTAGTATTTAATGAACCCTATGTTTCTTATGGGGAAACTGTTATCTATAGAACCCTAGGGGCATCAAAGGCTGCCAGGAAAGGTGCTGTAGCAACCCTTGTGAGAAGCATAACACCATTTTCAATTTATGCACCTCACACAGGAGCGCAATACTACGAAAATAATGTTACAAAAATACCAACAGCGGCCATAACTCTAGAAGACGCAGATTTGTTACAAAGACTACAGAACGAAGGAGAGAAGATTGTACTCCAAATTCTAATGTATTATACAGAAGATACAAAGAAATCACGTAACACATTAGTTGACCTTAAAGGCAGAGTAAATCCTGAGAAGCTGGTCATTGTGTCTGGACATATAGATAGTTGGGACGTAGGAGAAGGTGCCATGGATGACGGTGGAGGCATGATGATTAGTTGGTTTGTTCCAGTTGTACTAAATACTCTCAATCTGAAACCTAGACGAACAGTGAGAGCAATTTTGTGGACAGCCGAAGAACCAGGATTGATAGGAGCCCAAGCGTATTTGAACCAGCATAAAAACGAACTAGACAAAATTAATTTTATTATGGAATCTGATGAAGGAACGTTTCAACCTTTAGGGTTGGATGTTGCTGGTTCTAACAAAACACGTTGTATTGTACAGGAAGTTTTGAAGCAATTTGCACCAATAAATAAAATGGAAAACAGTGGAGCTCCTGGTTCTGATATTGTGTTATTTATAAAACAAAACGTGCCTGGAGCGTCATTGCTTAATAGGAATGAGCGGTATTATTGGTTCCACCATAGTGAAGGTGATACTATGGTTGTACAAAATATGACAAATGTGGTTGAATGTGCTGCTTTTTGGGCAGCGTTCTCATATGTTATAGCTGATCTCTCGGTGGACTTACCACGACATTAGTTGTTCTTACTTTATTAAGTCAAATTTATAGTTAATCTTAAAAGGATTGTCAATGTTATAAATTTTAAAATGCACAAAGTTTTATTCATTTGAATAAATATGTAAAAAATGCCTATCTTTTTCACAATTACGCATTTTAAATGATGTATAACTATATTACCATATTTCTTGTAACACAACTATTGGTACTCGATTCCATTATTCCTAGTATATGCATTATTGGGTTAACAGCTACCTAGATTTTTTTATGGAATACCTAATAGATTTTATTTGGAACATACGGATCACTTGATGGTAAGCGATCAGACCCGCCCACGGAAACCCGCAACACTAGAGGAGTCTTATGACTCCTATCCAAACAGCACTCCGCTGAACACGGTCTAGAGGAAGAAGCTGGTACTGGGGTGCCACCGTCCAAAAAATGAGAACAGTATTCCATGTGGGGCCGAACCTGCGCCTTATATACAAGCATGCGGTAGGCCGGGGTGAAATACTGCCTTAATCTATTGAGCACACCAAGCTAGTTATACTTCACAAATGTATAGTCGTTGTAGCATTTAATTTGGCAAGATTCAAACTATTAACCACGGAAGCTCCGTAACACTTTACGCGACTTCAGCTAGAATTTAGACGATTTTGCCCAAAGACTATTAATGCGATTTCTTAAAAGAATTCTTTTCATTGTTTTAAGAAAATTTTAACTTAGCCCAAACTTTTGGGTCTAAGAAACACTATTATTTTAACAAATATTTCTCCTTCTTAGTAATACCAGTATTGAACATAACGTCACGCCTTTTATCCCTGAAGGGTTAGGCAGAGGTGCATATTATGCCACTGTACAATGTAACTCCCACTTTTTACTATTTATATCTAGAAAGAAAGAAAGAAAGAAAGAAAAACCATTTATTTTGCTACGACACACAACAAGAATTTAGAAACACCGAAAAAAATCCCATAGTGCGTCGCAGCTATTGACTACTTACTTAATTACATATCGCTTACTTGCATGAAAAAAATACAAAGAAAGTCATTTAAAAATATCACAGCAGATGACTTTCCTACCCTTATCGAAACTTTAATCCCATGAGTGGAAATCCTTACTTATATTATAAATCGGAAAGTGAGTTTGTTTGTTTGTTCCACTTTAACGCCGTAACTACTAAACCGATTGCTTTGAAATTTTGCAGACGTAAAGTTAGAAGTCCGCATTAAATAATAGGGTACTTTTTATCCCTGAAAAAATTGATATTCCCGAGGGAAAACAAAAATATTGGTATAGATGGCGCTGTGTGTATTGGTATTTGTCACATTGGCTTTTATCCTTTTGTGACGCGAGCGAAGCCGCGGGTAAAAGCTAGTCTGTTGTAAATGTAACATTTTCTGTCACACGAACAAATCTTAAGCCCGGGGCTTCTCTTTGTATCATCACCCCTTGAATTATGCTACCGAAGCTATCCTTTGAAGTTCAATAAATTGTGTCCCGAGATTGCCTTTTCAAGTATTCCTATCGAAGTGTTTTTGTTTACTGTTACTTTAAATAGAAGTGAAGCACGTATTTATGTGACTTGATTTTGGCATTAGACTGCCTCGTTGGCCGAGTGGTCGCAATTGCGACTGCCGGGTAAGGGGTCCCGAGTTCGATTCCCGGGTCGGGCAAAGTATTACTGGGTTTTAAAAAAAATCTCAGTAGTAGCACGGAGTCTGGAACTGTGCCCAGTATATGGCAATAGGCTCACCCCCTATTACATGGGACTCATAACATAAATAGTGAAAAGTGGGTGTTACATTTTACAGTGGTATAATGTGAACCTCTGCCTACCCCTTCGAGGATAAAAGGCGTTATGTTATGTTATGTTATGATTTTGGCATTAATAAATAATTTAAAATTACTGGTCCAGGTTTTCTAGCAATATTCTCCTTCGCTTTAACTCAGAGAGTAGTTTTTAGGGAACAGAGAGTATAGTTCCCTACGATCGGAAAAGGAGGATCCTCCGACCAGGCGAGGTGATCGTGTCTGGCGGGCTGTCTGCCGAACAGTTGTTCGTTGGGATTTTCTATCCATGTTTATTCGCTTGTAAACTTTGCATGTGCGATGTTGGATTCTTGTGACGTCATCCGTGAACATGTGTCGCCACAAGTTAAAATCAGTTGGAAAATCTTTTTTTTGTTTGGGTTACTATTAAGACAGTCGTTGGTAGATCTATTCATTTATTTACCACGTTAGATTTGGTAGTTACAAACTTATTTACACATACCTTTTTTTCAATATGGCGGGTATGTAGACAGCCAAATATTTGTCATTCCATTTCGGTAACATTCCTCGCACCAGATTGCTTTCACCGGTACATTTCGACATTTCTGTTGTGATATTTGCTTAAAATTAAAGTAAACTGTATTACTAAAAGAGTTTGCAATACATACACCGTATCCTACACTTCAAATGTAGCAGTTAGATGAATATTAGCTGTAGTTTAAGATCATACAAATAGGGTTTTAATTCTTTTACCATGCCAATCTACCCTAATGAATGCAAGAAGCATTTAAACTTTTCTAAGTCCTTTAGCATAGTCCTTCAGATCATGGAGATAAGTGACTTGGAGATAGGACCATAGACCGCCAGAGTATAACAAAACATAACATCACGCGTTTTATCCCCAAATGGGTAGGCAGAGAGCACATTACGGCACTTAACTCGTCGAGTACCGTATTTATAGACACAATTAAAGAACAATAGGTTGCGGTCACCGGTGACCGCTTGGTGTTTGACAGTTTAATGCTACTGTACAATGTAACACCAACTTTTCACTATTTATGTTATGAGTCCCATGTAATAGGGGTGAGCCTATTGCCATATACCGGGCACAATTCCAGACTCCGTACTACTACTGAGAATTTTGAAAAAACCCAGTAATACTTTGCCCGACCCGGGAATCGAACCCGAGACCCCTTGCCGAGCCGCACTTGCGACCACTCGGCCAACGAGGTAGTCAACCGCCAGAGCATCTAAGCATAACCTGATAAAGATTTTCGAAAGTCGTATGCTAGCAGGTTGCTTACTACCAACTGATCTGGAAGTCATTTGCCTATATTCAATATTGGATGATGTAATGACCATTATCGTCATCATGCATTGTTCTACTCTTTACTACATTACTCAACATCGTACATCGAAATTGCTTTATTTCTTTCTTTTTCGTTTTATGCAAAAGCATGGATAAAGAAAGTATGGCAAAAAAAAAATAAAAACAAAGTAACCTTTCCGTGATAAAATTTGAGGAGTCCATTACTTTTGATAGGCTGTAACCCTTTATTTGAGCTGGCAACTTTATGCTGAGCTCTCACGACTCGACGTTGTGAACTCTTGCATTATTTTGTATTATTTGAAATCAAGTTCTGAGTAGGTTAACTTGATGAAAATGTCGCATATTTTAATTGTTTTTTAGAAAAACTAAATTCTGTTTCAGTTTCAGATTTTATTTGATAACGGAAATATGTACTAGATACCAAAGAGCAATGCGTAAAGGGAAAGATATTTTTTCTTAAACACCCACAAATCACACACTTCTTTTTTGTTATAATAACATGGAATGAAATGTTCTTACAATTTTTGGTAAAAAACACCCCTGATAGGTAAACCCTTTTAAAGCAAAAAAGCGTGAAGTTATTTGCGCTTAAATCTCACGAGGCACGCGTAGGAAGCAAAGGGCAGATGTTAATTTGTAAAAACATTACTTTAATGTTATTATAACTCAGCAGTTTAAAGGTTTAAAAAGTAAAAAACATTCACGAGTTTTTAAATCTTTTAGACAAACAAAAGCTACTGAAATGAAATTTTATAAAACACAAAATAAACCTCTTTGTTTGAATTGAGTCTCGTTGACTGCCGAACACCAGATTCTAGGTATGATCCCCTGGATAAGTATGAAATCGATTGAAAAAAATCCCAATGGAAAGAGATTGGGTTAAGTCTTTTACAATTGATTTCCAAATTGACAAATCTTACTGTTTTTTTTTTAAATTGACTTTGGGTTTGTATAGTTTATACGTTATGGGAAAGTGTGACCTCCTATTACATTAAGACTAAAAATAATACATGGAGAAAATGATCATAAATGCACTTTAACCTTTTTAATCTGTTTAGAATAACGTTGCCCCCACACTATGATTTTCTCCTGTGTCGTGGGTGCGTTTACAAACATACAAGTTCGCATACATATCACACCCAGACCCGGACCAACAATCTGTGGATCACACAAAGAGTTGTTCCGTGCGGGAATCGCGAACCCGTGACACGTTGCGCGGCAGTCAGTTGCCCAACCACCGCGCCAACCGTGCAATCTTAGTTACTTACCTTTAACCAACTCTCAAGGGGTTAACAACGGTCATACGCTGAATACTGAAAGTAAGTACTAGTCAATTTTGAATTGTACTTAAATATCGTGACATCTCTGTCATTTTACAAAAAAAATGTGACGGAACTACGCTAAAGCGCGATTTAAAATTAAATATCGTTTGAATATTTGGTCAATAATATTATATACTAAAGGTTAATCCACAGCAATAATTTGATGAGAAAAGTTACCATTTAGTTTTGCCTCAACAGAGATGATCATTCATTTTTATCTGATTCGCAGTTTGCAAAGCTCGGGTCGCGAGTCATTTGTTTAACTATGTTTTGGTTGGAATAAATTATACTAAATAGCTTGTGGGGAAATGAGATATATTCTGTGTAGTTGAAGACTCATTTACCGTAACTGTTTTGGAGTTACGGAGCTACTATTTTGAAACTCGTTGCCTGCCTCGTTGGCGAGTGGTCGCAAGTGTGACTGCCGGGCAAGGGGTCTCGGATTTGATTCCCGGGTCGGGCAAAGTATTACTGGGTTTTTAAAAATCTCAGTAGTAGCACGGAGCCTGGAAATGTGCCCGGTATATGGCAATAGGCTCTCCCCCTATTACATGGGACTCATAACATAAATAGTGAAAAGTGGGTGTTACATTGT